TCTGGTTGGTCTAATTTTGAATTATTCATTATTTCATGTTTCCCTTTCAAACGTACATGTCTTTTTCATTATATATTAAATGTCTTCGCCGTTAACCGTATAAACTTTAAACTTTCACTGATTTGTAAAGAATATACGTTTATCAAACTCTATGCCATTCATTGATCTCCTTCTCCAAACATTGCTTATTATAATTATCAAAGTCTACATGACTACCCGTTTCTGCCAATATATACAGATCAACTTCTAGTTCTAAGAATTAAGAAAGGATAAAAAAATTAATTAAACTTACAGTTAATTTACCTTGATTAGATTACAGTTAATCTACATTGGTAGAAATGGACATATATTAAATCGCGTTTATGAACCTTTCGATAAAAACATTTAAGCAAAAAAGCTTGATCGTTTAATACACTTGCAGGGAATTATAATCATGAGTGAACCGTGGAATCTGCATTTTATTATCAGGGCACTCTCGCGGGAGAGTTCGTCATCAGGATCGAAGGGATCTCTCGATTTTTTCGTGCGCGACTTTCGATTTCGACCGAGGGCGCGCGCGAGCGGTCAGAGAGACGCGAAAAAAAAAAGAAAGAAAAGAAAAGTAAGAGAGACCCGGAAGGCCACCTCACATCTTCCGCGAATTTACCGGGCCACTGACTTCTTCGTTCGTTGCATAACGCTCCTTCTGTCGGCGGACAACATCGTCGCGGATGAGAGCCGCTGAATCGTGGTGTACCGGTTGTTCCACTCGTGGAATGCGGACCGACGCGCTGTGTGCGTGTTCATACTGGTGTGTGCACACACTACGTACACAAAGAGACACATACAAACAAACGCATAGTGCTGTAAGCTATTTCTGCGGTACCCCGACTACTCCAACTTTTTGTTTAACGGGTTTAACCCATTAAGAGCCAACGTCCCATTTTGGAAACAAGAGTTTCGTCTTAACAAAGTTTTACGTTACGAATAAAACAATCTCATTGAGAGATAAATAATCTTCCGAACACGCTACCTGGCTTTATTTTCAAATCACAATGCATACGTTAGACGCATACATTGTAATAAGAAACACAGTAATAAGAAAGAGCCTATGTGCCGCAGAGTTATTATGCTGCTGTATATATGCTCGCGTGCCCACACGTACATACAGACGAGCGAAAGGGATACCTACGTGTGCACGTTTCACGTGTGCCGCAGACACAAATATTGTTATTATTGTTTACGATCGAAGAGGAGGTGCATCTCTGGCGCGCACGGTGCACGGCGCGGTTTTAACTCACGTTAAGAAAGCATTGTTTGCATTTCATTGCCTATGCACCTTTGCGTAACCGCAATACACAAGCTCCGGCAGTCGCTCCGACGATCCTTGATTCTAAACGACGGACCATGTGACAGAGATGCGAAAACCGAGACGAATTTCAAAAGAAAAGAGAATCTTATATTGTACAATTCGTGAGAATATAATCATGGTAAATTGTGGTTAATTTACTTGCTCAGATTTAAAATTTAATGACGCTCCTATTACGATATTCGAAATAATATTATTGACTTCTCTAAAGCAAGCGGGCGTGAATAAATGAATGAACAACTTAGTTCAATGAGCATGACTGAAGCAAATCGTTTATTCGTGTTTGTTCATTCTCGCTTGCTTGGATCCGACTCGAAAGAGAATTACAGCAAGAATTATCTAAAGGTATTGTAGCAATAAATTTGATAGAGGCAAATATTTTCGAATTATATCACTTTTATATCGTGATAAACAAAGTTTATCACGACCGTGCGGATACGGAATAGAATACAATCTATTAATAGTAAAACTGTTACAGAAATAAAAAATCGCAGAAATGTGTACATAGAGAGAAAAATGTAACGATATAGAAAAATTACAAAATAAAAATAAAAAAATATTACGAAGAGTGTCTCAGATTGCAAGGAGAAATTTCCTGTAAAATTTGATACAATCTCTCTGTATGCATTATTAAATCGACACAACCGGTCTGATTACGACATAGAGCGACGATTCGATTACCTCGCTCGTAATGCTCGCGTGAATTTTCTAGCGCGCATTAATCAAGGGTAATGTCGCAATCTGTCTTGCGGTTAGAATTTTTTTCGATTGGCCGCACCGTGCGAGTACTCTCTTAATAGACACATTAACTTTGTGTCGGTAATCGACGATGGAAATTAAATCTTATGTTCCAGTTATAAATCATCCGGGTAACGTGTCCTCGAGCGCTAAATAAAGGACGCGATTATTCATCCGATGAAGCTCGGGAAGAAGTATCGAGTAGCGCTGTAATCGATGAATCTCGTGCATGGAATATTCATAAACGTGTCCCGCAAACTTTAATTGATTCGCTCGAATTATCGCGTCTAGCATCATGTTGTTTATCATCAATATCGCATTAATAAGATCAAATTTTTAATTGGTACGTAGATTTTTTTCTTTATATTAATTTAACTTTTACGTTTTGTGTGCACCTGCAAGCATTTATTTAAAAACTTTTTTACAAATATTTTTTATACTTTCATTAATGAACTAGTTGTTTATGATATGCGATATGCTTTACTCACTTTTCACTTACTGTTATTTAATTGATAATTTTTTATTTTTGAATAATTTTGCGATTTACTTTCTGTCATTAATTTATGATTTATATCATCAAAACTTATCAGCGATTTTAGCAGCGCGAAACTATTATCGAAGAACGTAGAATGACTGTGTTACTTACACGTAGCTACTTACAAACAATCGAAGGAAGTCGTATCTCATAAATATTATAGCGTTGAGGCCCGACTGTCAGTTGCGATCTGTATGCAAATTCAACCGCTTCATGTTTCTATTGCCACTACCCTCTAATCGAGTACTCGATATAAACAACCCTTAAATAACTATGCTAATCTTAGCGCGTCAAGATTTTTATGTATTTTAAATTTGTTATAAAAATACTATTTATTTCGATATATCCAGATTTTGAGTAATTTACTTACGTCTCTTATCAAATTGTCCTCAATGTTTCGTATTAGCTTGTTAATAAAAAATTTTCAAAAATTTTTTACATCATTGTTTCAAGATTTGCTATTTTCAGCATTATAAAAATGAATAATGATATTGACATATTATCTGTTACGCATTATCATTAACAATCTTTTAAAAATTAAAGCTTGTTAGACAATTTTTATTATTTAAAATATCCTTTTTATAGTTTTGAAAGCAAATCATTGTATTTTTTTATTTTGTTTTAAATATAAGCAAATCATTGTTTACATTTTTGTTTGCTTTCTTTTTCCTTTAACTTTTTTCTTATTGAGTATTATCTATTGAATCAGTAACCAAAACAGTACATGAAATCACATAAATATAACATGAATTGGGTATCAGATACATGAAGAAACGAGTTTTAGCAGATGCAGGGTGAAAGCGACATAAGACGACGGATTTAAGACGATTTCAACAATTTGCGTCGTAAAAATGAGATTAAGAGGACTAAATAAAGGGATAAGCAACGAGTTCGATGCAGCTTGCGACTTTTGACACGCGAGCGTTTCGACTTAGCAAATTTACGATTTCCTCGAAATCACAAGGCGGAATAAATTTAATTTGCATATTCAGAAATAAATCTGCGTGGCCTTTAGTCCCTGAATATTTTTAACAAATCGAATGTAAATTGAAATGTTTCTTACGTTTATTTCGAATTATTAAACAATACATTAATTTTATACGAAAGTGCATTGTGCTCATCTAAATGACTCAATTGGTAATTTTAAAAAATTAAACATTTGAAGTTTAGCATATATTAATGCATATATTAATGCAATAATTATTTAAGTATTCAGCATGATAAAATATTTAATAATAAAATCAAAGTGTGCTTATAATAAAAAAGAAATGCAACATATTTAGTCGTAGATTAAAATGCTAAAGATTCTCGGCTGAACGAGAAGCTATTAATTAACGTGATTGGTTTGCGCATCTGTTTTCAAACAGCTGCACTGTTTTTTTGAAGAGAGCTATAAAATGCCAAACCTACAATCCTTACGAGATCCTCGAGATCGTTGACTTCCCAAGTCATTATATCAAGTCGACAAAAACTTAGGTGGTTTAAGAAATATATAAATGTCACGATAAGACATTCTTAAACATATAATCAAAGATAAGGATGTTATAAATATGTGTGTGAGTCAAATTATAAAAGTATTGAAGGGACGATTCATCGACCGATTTTTCTCATGTACTAGATGATAGCCAGATTTGAGATGAATGATATACGGTCTCACTTATCGCAGCTTCGTTCACGCGACTCGTTCGACCACCATTGGTCACAGTCTTTTTTTCATCACGAGTTTTGGATATTATATTAGCCACTATTTACTCTCCGTCTATCGGCTACATCTAATTTTGCATCCCGTCAGCAACTATATTGTTCTGAATTGTATAAAAATTTGAACAAATTCTTATATACTTGTGAAAAATTTAATAACAAGTTACCATCATAGAAGTCGAATTGTATTTTATTACTATAATATATACTTATTTTTTACAGATTTAAATTTATCTGACAATTTTACAATTAAAGAAATCGATTACTATCTTCAAAGTCCAACATTGCCAATGGAGAGTAAATAATGTATTAATTTAATAAACTGTTTAGATGTTACAGCGTTTTAAAAATTATTTTATGATTTAGAAAGATGTGTACTCTCTAAATTCTTTGGAGTGAAGTTTCACCCTAAAGTGTGACAATTGAGACAGCCTTAAGTGACTCAATTTTTTATCTTTAAGAATGACATTTCACTCTCCAAAGTGAGATTCACTCTAAAAGTTTTAAAGATGAGTATCTATGATAATTCGTAATGAAGATAGTTCTGTATTGCATAAATCATTAATATTATAAATAATGATTAGTTTTGAATTACATACACATAAATATCTATACATATATACTCGATTTTTTTAATTGAATCTCTCTTAATCACCCTCGATGCATTTACCCTTTCAGCAGTTTCCCGCGGAGGACGTGATAGCACGGCGGACGCGCGGCCGAAAAGGCGGAAGTATCCATCGACCATGGCGGCGGGAACGTGCCAATTTGCCTGAGGAGACAGTATCCGCAGAAATCCGCAAGGTGAGTCCTCTCTGGTTCCCCTATGCTTTCGAGCTCGGATGCACGACGTTATTAAGATTTCAAGAGATACGGGAAATAAATTAAGCGGGTAAACGGTCGGAAACCGGTGAGGCGAGCTTCGAGATAAATCGAGTGGCGGAAGACGAAGACCTATGAGAGATAATGGGGAAGGGAGGGTAGGTCGCGTTTTTCAGACTCGCCCGGAGTCAGCCTCTACATCCCAACCGATAGCTTCCAATAGCGAGAGCAAGATAAGCGCAGCGGTGCAGCCTCTTCGTGAAGACACCGATCCTGACCAAAGAGAAAAAGAAAGGAAACTTCCGCGATTAAGATGTGCAACGAGGCACCCATGAATTCTGTCTAGATACATATCTGATTTGGCATTGTCACCGTCGATAATCCGCTCGTCCTTTTTTCGCGAGGAATGTGCCGAATGGAGATGTTAACTCCCAAATATACACGCGTGGAAAAAAAGATATACGCGGATACAGCACGATCACTTCTCTCGCTTTTAGACAGATTTAAGAATTTAACAATCAATCTTTTTATGAAAAAGAGTGATAGAAGCCAGTTTCATGTATATATTATAACTCATTCTTCCTTATAAAATAATACGAATGAGAATAAAATTGCTCGGATTGAAGTATTTAGCGAGTAATTAAAGAGTTAATGATTCTTTGCGTCAATAACGATCGTTAGATAATAACGATCATTATTTGTAGAGATCTTAAATAATAAGAGGTAAAGCATCGAGATTGAGTATAATATATAATGTTTGTTTCTACATTAACTTTAATCTCGGTTCAACTTACTCTGTAAGATTTTTCCTTTTCTAAATCTGAAAATTAAAAAAAGAGATAGATAGTAAATTAAACCGAAATTAAAGTTAATCTTATATTTGTAAAATTGGGACTAAGGTGAAAAATTATTTGAACCGAGATTAAAATTAAATGCATTAGTACACTGAGAAAAATGGTCTCTGGTCACCCCCATTAACCTGGACCCCCCACCATCGAAAATCAAATTCGCGATAGGTCAAAAATTTAGTGCTCTTTTGTTGCTAATTAGTTGCTCTAGAGCGAATTTTGTTGCTCCAACCGTTTAGCAGCAATAAAAAAAAATGGGGGGGGTCCAGGTTAATATAAAGCTGGACCCCCCCATAATGAAAAAATGGATATAGAGCTGCGATATCAAAAAAACAAATGCACCAGATTTTGTTGCTTTTTTGTTGCTCTAGGATAGTGCAAAGAAATATCGAAAAAATCACATTGTTAAACAAATTCCGATAAATAATCAAAACTGCATTGTCGCGCGTCGCAACGTTATGACCAAAATTTACATGTATAGAATTTGTTACTCGCAAGTTTTTGGTATCAAAATGTTCCTTGGAACATATACTATCGAAATATACCCGTTTCCGATTTTGTTGCTAACCCTAACACATGAAAAATAATTAGTTTATCAGCATCGGCGCTCGAGCCGAGCACTTTATCGTCTGAAACATTGTTTAAATAATTTGTTACTCGCACGGACGGATGGACGGACGGACGGATGGACGGACGGACGGATGAACGGACGGACGGATGGATGGATGGACGGATGGATGTTACAATAGAAAGAATTCATATAATATCTATCAACAAAAAGGATATTGGGAAAATTTAACAAATGATTTTTCATGTGTTAGGGTTAGCAACAAAATCGGAAACGGGATATTTCGATAGTATACGTTCCAAGGAACATTTTGGTACCAAAAACTTGCGAGTAACAAATTATTTAAACAATGTTTCAGACGATAAAGTGCTCGGCTCGAGCGCCGATGCTAATAAACTAATTATTTTTCA